CATATTTTTCCTATCCGCTTGTTAAGTGTGACGTCACGCGAAGCGGCTCTCAGGTCCAAGCGCTATATTCGACTGAATAGGGAGATTCATGAAATGGTAATAATAAAGGTTACAAAGCGATTTAATACTTTCGAAAATCACGATCACAATATATATGTCCATGCCGAATATCTGATGGCCAGAAAGTGATTCATTTTTTTATAAAATGTTAAATTTTTGGTATTTGTTATGCAGCAAGCCCAGAGATTGTTGTGTACACTATGATTTTATATAAAATTAAATTTAATGTGTGATAGGAGTAAAACGTGATCATAAACGAATGATTTCTCCGCTCAAATGAATGGCAACTTGGATCCGGAAACAGTATTACTTATGTCACCACTTAACAAATAGATTAAGTTCCATAGGCTCTACCAGTAAGAGAGCTACTATTCAGTTTTGATTAGTTTGTACTCCAATTGTGACAATTATAGGCTTTGTATTCATTGGGTATTAGGCCTACTATTTTTTTTTAGATTTTTTAGTATTGTTACTCATCTTTAGATATCTGTACTCATACTCTCCCACACTCACTCTCTCACTTTCCTCCAGTTTAGTCTCTGATTTATCAGCGGTTTCCACAGTGGAAGGAACCAACAATTACTCTGGCATATGTTTTATGGATGTTTTGTGGAGGATGCCCTTCCAGCCACAAGCCAGCACTTACTTGTGAACCCCATGCTGGGAAAAACCCATACTCTCTCTCATTCCCACACACTATGGACATTAGATTATTCACTTTACCTATCCAGTGGTGGAAAGAGCACTGAAAAATCATACTCAAGTAAAAGTACCATTACTTGCCTAAAAATGTAGAGCAAGTAGAGTAAAAGTATATGTTGTAAATTTTACTCAAAGTAGGAGTAAAAAGTAGTCCTTTTAAAAGTACTCATGAGTAGTGAGTAGTGAGTATTACGCTGTGAAAAGCTGATGCGTTTACATGTAACTTGTGGATGTGTGTAAACGTAACATTCTGTAGTGCATTTAGTTATTGCCCTGCAGGCACACAACGTCATAGGACATTAATATTAGGTTGTGATTTCAAGTGACCAAAATTCAATGTCTAGCCAGTGTCTAAGGATAACGTTATTTTGATGTCTAATAACAACGTAAAATGACGTTGATACTTGGTTGATTTTAGGTTGTGTTAGAAAGTGACCAAAATCCAATGTCGAGCCATTGGACGTCTTTTGGGCGTCTTCTTGGACACTTTTAATGCTTCCAAACGTTTTGCTGCATGTCGCTCATGTCTTGAGGTTGTTCATTATGATGTGATTTACCTTCTATGTATGATTTGATTGGACAGGAATTACAGGACTGATTTTTCTTATTCCCATAAAGTCGTGACTGCAGGTTGAAGGAAAGTAGTGGAGTAAAAGTACAGATAGAGCACTAAAACTGTACTCAAGTAAGAGTAAAAGTACACATTTATAAAACTACTCAGTACAATTCCTGAGAAAAAGTAATTAATTTCAGTAGTTTGAGTGTTTGTATTAGTTACTTTACACCACTGCCTATTGCACATGTCTTTGGACTGTGATGGAAACTGGAGCACCTGGATGAAAGCCACGCAGACACAGGGAGAACATGCAAACTCCACACAGAAAAGTCTCCTGGTCGAACCTTCTTGCTGTGATATGACAGTGCTAACCATTTAGCCACCATGTCACAGTCTCACAATGAAGACAAGGATGGTTATCTCCTTTCATCAATTTATTCAAACACACAGTGGATTGATCAACAGGAGAAGCTGGTAATATTCTTGGCTGACTAACTAACTAACTAACTAACTAACTAACTAACTAACTAACTAACTAACTAACTAATTAACTAACCAACCAACTAACTAATTAATAACTAAATCCATGAATTTAATATTTGTGTATTTGAAATGTCAAATATTTGCATCTAATTTTCTTACAGTTTTTCTCAGTCGCTTTAGTGCATTTCTCACAACACCAGTACATTTCTGCACAACAGTTATTGCATTTCTCAAAACAATTAAACTGCAAAACCTAGCTGATAACCTGCAAAAGCGCGTCACATGCTCAAAATGGATAGTTCATTCCTCAAAAGCAAGTATTGATGTCAATCAAAGTGTCAGTATCATCAAAATGAAAAGTCCTGACACCATTGTTTATGAACAAGATAGTCAAATGGCTTTGTCATGTTTTCATTATGTCAGTTTACTCTGGACATTTTTTCAATGCAAAAAAGTCAGATTTTGGTGACACTTCCTGAAAATGCTCAAGACAGAACTTAATACTATTTGCACAGCCATTTGAAAACTACAGCAAAGTTTGACAACAGCTTTTAGTGAGGTATCCGATTACAAGACACTGAATATGTATGTTTCACATTTTTACTGCACATGCTCGTTGCAATTCTAATTTATTCACAGCATTGTGCAAAAGAATAAACACACCCTTATGTACAACAAGCACAAGCTTCCTTTGGGTAAAACAGGGCACAACTGTAAACAATATTGCAGAACATATTGGAACTGGACCTACAACAAACACAGGTCAGTAAATCATTCATGAAATTGTTCAATTTTAAAGACATTTTCAGGAAAATAAAGATACATTTTTTTTTAATAAAATTTGCTAGATAGATTTTGATAACTAGTTCAACATTTTTGTATGTAATGACTCAAGTAATGAAATGAGGACTATTAGTTTTATATGAAATGACTTTTCAGCATTCACAAGTTTAGTTACAGTTTTTCTCAGTCGCTTTGGTGCGTTTCTCACAACACCTGTGCATTTCTGCACAACAGTGAATGCATTTCTCAAAACAATTAGTACAAACTGCAAAACCTAGCTGATAACCTGCAAAAGTGTGTCACATGCTCAAAATGTTCATTCCTCAAAAGCAAGTATTGATGTCAATCAAAGAGTCAGTATCACCAAAATGAAAAGTCCTGACACCATTGTTTATGAACAAGATAGTCAAATGGCTTTGTCATGTTTTCATTATGTTAGTTTACTCTGGACATTTTTTCAATGCAAAAAAGTCAGATTTTGGTAAAACTTTGTGAAAATGCTCAAGACAGCACTGTATACTATTAGCACAGCCAATTGAAAACTACAGTAAAGTTAGACATCACTGCATTTAGTGAGTGTATCTAGTACAAGACACTGAATATGTATGTTTCACATTTGTTCTACATTTGCTCTTTACAATTTGAATTTATTCACAGCATTGTGCAGAAGAATAGACGCACCCTTTTTTACAACAAACATAAACTTTCTTTGTGTTGAACTGTGCACAACCGTAAACAATATTGCAGAACATATTGGAACTGAACCAACATACATACACAGGTCAGTAAATCATTCATGAAATTGTTCAATTTAGAAGACATTTTCAGTAAAATAATTTTTTTTTTGATAAAATTAGCTTGCAAGATTTTGACAACTAGTTCAACATTTTTGTATGTAATGACTCAAGTAATAAAATGAAGACTGTTAGTTTTATTTGCAATGACTATTCAGCATTTACAAGTTTAGTTAATTTGGACTGACATGACATTAGCAAATGATAATGTTATAAACAGCAGAGAGTTGTATGAAAGCAATTGATGCATGTCCAAAAGCATTTGCAGTTTGTTGAAAGGAATGAGAAACTGCTACTATGTGCACAAATGACTAATTGTTTTGAGAAATGCATGACCTGATGTGCTAATGTAAATAGTGTTGTGAGAAATGCACCAAAGCGACTGAGAAAAACTGTAACATACAGTGATTGTTCCATAATGACACATTATTAAGACTGTCTGAAGTTATGTTTGTATAGCATTTTCCAATACAACAAAACCTGCTTATGAAAATTGGAAAGTTTCAGTGGAATTTTAGATAATTCAATGTCACATAAAAAAAAAAAAAATTTTACCTTCTTGTTTTTTAAACAAATAAGATGGGATTACAAACCAATAAGAATCCTCATTTTTTATCTATCTAATTAGCTTCTAATAAATAAGTGCTAGAATGTGCACCAATAGTAGCTAAAGCATAAGCAATAGTGGGTTATAAAATGTATAGGTACTTAATGGAAAAGTTTAGTATTTAAAAAACATAAGTACTAGCTGCATTAAAGTTTTCAAGACAGCACTATATATACACTATTTGCTTGGCCATTTGAAAACACCAGTAAAGTTAAACATCACTGCATTTAGTGAGGTATCTGAGTACAAGACACTGAATATGTATGTTTCACATTTTAACTGCATTTGCTCTTTACAATTCTAATTTATTCACAGCATTGTGCAAAGGAATAAACACACCGTTACAACAAACAAACTCACTTTGGGTAGAGCTGTGCACAACTGTAAACAATACTGCAGTACATATTGGAACTGAACCTACAACATACACAGGTCAGTAAATCATTCATGAAACTGTTTAATTTTTTAGACATTTTCAGGAAAATAAATATTTTTATAAAATTTGCTTGACAGATTTTGACAAATAGTTCAACGTTTTTGTATGTAATGACTCAAGTAATGAAATGAGGACTATTAGTTTTATATGGAATGACTATTCAGCATTTACAAATTTAATTCATTTTGACTGACATGACATAAGCAAATGATAATGATATAAACAGCAGAGAGTTGTATAAAAGCAATTGATGCATGTCCAAAAGTATTTGCAATTTGTTGGAAGGATTGAGAAAATGCTACTAGGATGTGCACAAATGAGTAACTGTTTTGATAAATACATTAACTGTTGTGCAAATGTAAATACCCTGCTGAAAAAAACAGCTTAAACCAGCATAAGCTGGTTGGCTGGTTTTAGCTGGTTGACCAGCCTGGTTTTAGAGGTGTTTTTGGCCATTTCCAGGCTGTTTTTTTCAGCAGGATAGTGTTGTAAGAAATGCACCAAAGCGACTGAGAAAAACTGTAAATGTGAAAACGTCTGGCGTTACATGTAAAACGAAAGAAAGTCATCTTACTCGTTTCTATCGCTAGATGGCAGTGTAATTCTTCTCCGTTGCGTTTCACATCGGTTTACCAGCAGGAGAAGTCACGAAGAAATGAAACATGGCGGACTCGGATGGGAGACAGGTTGACAGCATCAACCATGCTACAGGTAAAACATAATATTGCCAACTTTCTACGTGTGCTGAGACCGACGTGAACATGTACACAAGCAGTCGTTTACAGTCACCAACAGAGAGCTTGTGTTACGGCTCGTTCGGTCGCTTGATCGCCTCTGCCATGACACAGCTGACTTGACACATCCATACAGTGGAAATTACATCATGCTGTTTTGCCATTTGGAATGTATTTATGCTGACCTCTAACTGCATAAATTGATCACATTATTCCAAATTGTGTGTAACGCGATATTTTTTCAAGACAAAGAGAATCTTTATGCAACGTTTTTAGTTTGGTAAAGATCGTGTGCCAGCATGATGAAATAACACTGCAAATTCAGTGTCGAGGGGTTTTCTGTTCTCGTAGACCTCATTACTTCAAACTTAAACCGCCTTTTCTCTGTAAATGACTATAATCTAGCAAATTTAACCTTGATATACCTTTTAAATATCTGTTTGTTTGTGTCATAGGTGAAGAAGGGAAGTTGCAAGATATTGTAAAAGCAAAGGTAGGTCTTTTTTATTATTAATATTATTATAAATTCACTATATTTTATACCATATTTTATTTGTATGTTATTTTTCAAATCCATTGATTGTTTCTTAAAAAGTACTTAATATTTAAAAAAATTAATTGTCCAAATGTCCTAAAGAGATGCTGTCCTGGACAACATTTTAGGCTTTACTAGAAATAAAATGTTTTTTTAATGCCCAAAGTGCAGATTTGATTTTTAAGACATGCCACATTTGTTTACAGGATTTCTGAATTTAATAATAAATTGAAACTGTGACACTTTTTTTTTTTACTTATAGAGTGAAGGTAAGGAGTTGACCAAAGAAGAAAAGCAGCGTCTTAGGAAAGAGAAGAAGCAGCATAAAAAGAATAAAAAAGATGACAACAAGGGTCCTCCAGAGAAGGAAAAGGAGAAGGAAAAAGAGAAAGCATCTGCTCCACCTCCATCAAAGCCTGTCACCCAGAGCCCGGCACATAAAGGTACCTCAGTGTGAAAACAAAAGTGTTCTCAATTTTCATACAATGCAATTTTTATTAAAGTTAATTTAATATCGATTGAAATTTGAAATAACTTGGTATAATTAAAGGAAATTTATTTATGTGTTTTTCTGTCTTATTAAGACTAGTTTAATATTTACAGGGAAGAATGGAGTTAAAAACATTTATGCAAATAGAGTCCCCCCCCCTCGCAAAGAAAATGTTGACCCTGACCCTGATTGTATAAGTCTATATACAAAAAACTGAAATAATACTAGTAGAGCTTAATAAAATGAAGCTGTTGCAAACATTATAAACATATTATAGTTCCCCTCATTGCCAGTAGAATAGTAAAGAAGATTAATAGTCCTAAAAGTAAAAGGCAGTCTACACTTTGAGTAAAAAAAAAAAAAAACAAGAAACATCTTCTTTGGAATAAAAGTCATGGCACATTTCAGATAATTAAAAAAAGGCAACTTATGTTTTTGAAAATACAATGTCTGTTTTGATGCTGCTATTTTTATTTCTTAGCTTAATGGAGTTTTTTAATAGCCTTTTAATCTACTCTATGGTCTATTTTGGGGTGCTGTTTTAACTGTCGGACCCTTTGATGTCAGCAGCTGCTCCAGCACCTGTAACTGCATCTGCATCTGAAACTCCTGCGGCTGCAGAGAAGCCTGCAAAGACCAAAGCAGAGCTGCGAGCAGAGCGACGGGCACGGCAAGACTCAGAACGAGCATCAAAACAGGGCAAGAAGGAAGGTGGTCAACAATCCACCTCCAGCAAACCTAAAGCCTCCCCCAATGAGCTCCAGCCAGGTAATTTATACTTGCGGACCTTACTCTTCAACCTGACCATACCGTTATAATATTGTAATTGATGTTTTTGCAATTTTATCGAGCTTGTTGCAAAAAAAGAATGAAAACACATCTCGTGCGAGCAAATATTTAGGTGTTATAAGTAGGGATATGGACTTTTGGGCCGATATCGATAACTGATAACCATACAGGTACTCCGAAAGTGGCGAGAGCGTCAAAGTAGCCCGAAGTTATTCATTTTCAATGAGAGCCAGTGGCGAGGAGCAGCGTGGCGCATCTTTACCTGTGTAGCCGTTCTTTCTCTGTAGCCGCAATGTTTTGAACTTATTTGAATGCATTCGTTTACTGGATCTTTGGACTGAAAGGTTTACGGGGTTTCACTTGTTTTTAGAAATGTCTGATCGTAAAACCTGCAACTTTTTATTTCTAAGGTATTTTTTTTGGTTATTATGTACTGATTCAAATTACTGATTCAAATTACAAGTCGGGCGCAGGTGCAATCATCGAATATATTCAATGCAAGCCAGCGCCACGGTATTCACTGCATCATCACTGTGACACTTATTCACATATGACTGGATGTGGTGTCATGATTTTGGCTACTGCAGGACACTACTGAATGATGCGCATCAGAGGGGATTTAGAAGTGGTAGGCTATACTATACCTGAATCAACCCATTCTCACGAATTGCCTGCTTATACACTCCAATACACCATATTATCGTCATTTTTGATTGCGACTTGTAAAAAGCATTTACGTCCTTGTCCTTTTTTAATGAGCCATTTTCTGAAGCTTTAAATGCACCATGCGCATATCTAAACGAATGCTGCAATAGACACCTCACTTTTCATGTAATAAACACTTTATCCGCGACACACACTCTGCCAGCTTTAATTTTTTAAAGTAATTTTAGGTTATACGTTTACATAGGAGGCAAAGCAGTGGCGCAATAGGTAGTGCTGTCTCCTCACAGCAAGAAGGTTGCTGGTTCGATTCTCGGCTCAGTTGGCGTTTCTGTGTGGAGTTTGCATGTTCTCCCTGCCTTCGCGTGGGTTTCCTCCGGGTGTTCCGGTTTCCCTCCGGTTTTACTTTTGGTGCAAAAAAAAGGCCTGAATTATTGAAAGTGTTAAAATATTCTTTCAATTTATTTTATAACTATGAAATTTAATTAATAAACAAAGTAAAGCATTAACTTGCCAAGAAATGCTCCACTTTACCACGGTAAAATAATGCCCCCACTCATGCAATACTAGAACCTGGTCTATATAACCATGGAAATATGTGTACACACAATAACACCAAAGTTGCGTACTTGTAAAATAAACAAAATGAACAAGATGCACTTTCTCTCATGCAGCCTCTGTAAAATGTAGCGCTTCGCAGCAATGAATTGGCTACTTGATGAAAAGAAATGCATGCAGCTTCGGCAATCTTCATATTTTTCGGCATATTTTCCACTGACTGAGAATAATGCAGCACTATTTTATTAACAAATTATTACAATTCTTTTTTTCCCCCCGATTTTATATATATATATATATATATATATATATATATATATATATATATATATATATATATATATATCCATCTATTTTTAGGCACCGACACACCTGTGGCTACGCCCCTGTTAAAAAGGAATTATAAGTTTGATCCTATCCTAATGAGCGCCATAATGTATTTATTAGTTGTCTGCAAGCATCAGTGTTTATTGAGATTGAAATAATAAAAAATAAAATAAAATTGAAAATGAGATAAAAAAATATTGTTATAGCAACCCTTGTGACTGCTTTGGGAAATAACACTTGTCGTAGATGTCACAGGATGACTGATCGTTAAGGAACGTGTTGTCTGGCACATTTGTTACCCACGACAGGTCAATATTTTATCAAGAAAAAAATTGCATAATCTGACAAAGTGACCTCCGTAACCGGCAATAAAAATTAATAAAATAAAAAACATTAATAAAAAGTAATGTACATATGTACAAATACGTAATGTCCAAAAAAGTGTTTTGATCCACCGTACAAGCGAAAAGCTAAAAACAGTTAGTATTACTTTAGAAAATGCTGCTTAAATGCATCCTATTTGGCATTTTAGATTCTTTTCAACACGTGTAGTTGCTGCTTTTCAATCAGACAATGCTTCTATGTTCATTCTTGCTGTCAAATGCGGTAAAAAAGATTTATGATGAACTGCTGTAAGTATCAAACATTAACTGCAGCCGCTGTGTAACATGCAGCGCTCCTGAAAGTTTGGATGGGGTGGTGGAATTTTTTCGCTTTTCTAAACCTAAAACCCAAGGGGAGAAAGGCCAGCGTGGATCAAGCTATGTGAGAGGCCGTAAAAGCAGCACAACCCAGTCATATTTCCTTTTGTTTCAAGCTACGATTATTTAGATTACATATCAACAGAACAAAACGGATATGATCACAAACTGAGCATATAATTCAACTGCAGCTGTCCATGTCAGAGCTACAATTTTTTAGAAACCTTTTGGAGATTTAGCCATTGGTAGGCCCACACGGAATCTGTGCGCACAAAAATCTGCAGATTTTTAGCCCATCATCGAGTCTATTTATTTACTCCTGTAAATGTGTGTAAATTTATATATATTCCATTTTTAAATTAATTTTAGTAATATTATTGACTAAAATAAAAGTGATAATTTGATTAATTTACAATACAGTAATAGTCTTTTAGAAGAGAGATTATATAAGAGACTTGCTTTGTTTACCAAATAAGTGGATCTAGATGGATTTGCATTGTAAACAATAAAGAAAACTTAAAATGCTTTTATTTTAAATTTCATATATAAAGTTTTTATTTACGATACTCCTAAAATAATTCAGCATAAATCTGCAGATATATATATATATATATATATTTTTTTTTTTTTTACAAAATTTTCATTAGAAAAACAAAAAATGTCTGCAGATTCTGTCTGGCCTTAGTCATTGGTGACGACATTATAGCAGGTTAGTGTCAGCTTTTATTTTTGGCGTCGGATTAATTTTTGCATTTAGGGAAAATCTGTTTGTTCACTTCTGCTACTAATACTTTGATTTGGATTTCAATCTATTTATTTTTTCCAGTTAAGTACAGATTAGAATGAAAAGCGGTATAATAAGCCCATAAACATACTGACCGTTATAGGTGCTGTACACTGTTATAGGTCAACGATGCTCTTATTTGCTTATTATTTGGCCTTGCTTATTTGCTTATTTTTTGGCCTTTTGGCTAAAAAAAAAGAAATCACAGTTTAATTTGTTATTATTAGATCATTTTTTTACCTATCCTGCCGTGCATGAACTAAACTATTGAGTGGTCAGCGTATGAGGCAGCTAGGCTTTAGCTTAAATTTTTAGTTAAAGGGCCATAAAACCCCCCTGTTTCAGCAGGGTGTTTTCACACCTCTCGTTTGGGAAAAGTCAGGAAAGTGGGTGTGCTAGCTCAGTTTAGGTGGGAGTGTCGGGGGAGGGAAAAGAGGGAAGGATTTGAATAAAAGAGGAGTTTCCATTTAGGCACACGCTGATTTTTACCGAGGAAAAACAAACACACAAGGGCAGGGGAGAAAGACAGTGACTGTGTTTAATGACAGTAAAATGTTTGATATCGCACGTCGTATTAGAGAAAAAAAACTCTGCATTTCTCAGTAACTCTGATGCACTCGGTAGGTCAGAAAGCTGTGTGTGTGTAGACTATCCGGTCACAAAATGCGGCGAAAAATCTAACACAACGGTCGGTAAATTTTGCTTGCAGTGTTCACGTTTTCACTCGGAGAGCAGCAATTACAGCGGATCTTTCAGTCCATAATATTGTAGTGATATTAACGTACTGTAAACTAAGTAACTTAGAAATCACTTTGACTAAGGTCTGTCTTTAAACACTGAAAGAATACTGCTGATGATACAAACTATAACATCTGAATCAAAAAAGAAAGGGCACTGATCGCACACACACTTACCAAATCTGTAGAGACAGGACTGTCAACATCAATAGGAGCTGCGTCTTTTTTAAAAGGAGACGAGCGGCAAATCAGGATTTTACAAATTTCCAGATGAGAAAAGCTGTGGAGTCAAACATGTTCCATACCAACTTATTTCTGCTGCGTGTCGCGTGCACTGATCCACTTGTGAGTCCAGTTGCGCTCTCTTAGCTGGAAAATGAAAACAAACCCTTCATTGCAGCACATTATAAAAACAACAAGGACAACCAGTATCTCCAAGCTATTTTCTTTTCCCACTTGTTATGGCAGCAAAGCGTGGCGTCTCTCTGCCGTCTGAACACTGTAAGAGGTAAAAACACGTCTTCATGCACATTAATGAAGTTGCACAATAGAGCGCGCTGATTGGTTTGAACCAAGTCTTACTCATGCATTAATGCAGCATACTCATAATAAGGCACTCCCAGGTACAGACGTCCAGTCTACACGCTGGAATACACGCAAAGATCTCATGGCCGTGAAGCGGCTTTAAAAATTAGCTTCAAACCGGAAGTACGAATTTGCTCGAAATAACACAAAAATGTGTGTCCTATTAGTGTTTTTAGCAGTGTGGGACAAATATACGACTGTCAACAACTCAAAAAATGTGTTTTGGTGTTTCTTGACCATTTAAATTATTCTTTAATGGGTTGCGTAATATGTGGTGAATATACCCCTGTAATGCATACTGCAGTCCTTTTTTTGTCTGGCTTTTTCAGATATCTCATCTGTTTGCCAAAAATAACTAATTTTATCCCTAGAAATATCTGACACCAGCGCATACATATTGTAATAGACGTGCCAGACATGAAAGCTTGACAGCCGTAGCAACACTAACTAAGGAGAGCAGGATTTAGCGAAGGGTCAATTATATTGAAAATAAATGAATAATGTGTTTATATCTGTGTGATTAAAACAAACTAATAGCAGCGTTTCTTGTCAAATCTGAGCATCTGACTGGTATTTAGCAGTTGAGTTATTTTGTATAACTTTGGTTCTGTTTGTTTGTAGTTGTGAAAAGGTTACCTGAGCACGTTCAGGTGGATGATCCTGCTGCGTTGAAAAAGTTGGCCAAGAAGCTTGAGCGACAGCAGGTGAGACAAATCTGTACTGCTATACTTTACATCTGGTTTGATCACAGCCGACTGACGATTGATGGATTCATCCAGGTGTTTTCTGAGATCCATTTTTCAGCGTTTTTTAACCCAGGTCCTTCCCGTGTCTTACAGAAGTCAGGGCAGGGATGCGGTTTAAATATAACTGGAGTCCAGGTCTGGCTCCACACTTCTGTGTGCAGTGTCTTGTTGACTTTTTGTTTCTCTGTTTCATGTAATTTTTATTCTTGGTGAAAGTTAACTCCTCTTGTGTTTAAATGTGTTATGCAAGTGATTTCATTGTGATTATTTTCATTTCACTGTGTTCACGTGATAGCTAGATGTCAAATGTGGGTGATTTTCCAGTGTGTATTTGTTTTTCATTTATGTTGTTTGTTGGGTGTAGATTTATAAATGTAGTATTACGCTGTCACGGTCGTCAGATGTGAGCGTCATGTAGCCTCAGCTTTTGACATGAGGACGGGGGATGGGACCTCCAGAATGTCTGTCCCTGATGGAATGATATATTCACATGTTGTGCTGTTGTTTGCTCTGTTCATTTAGGTTCCTTTGAGGTCAGATTATGGTTACAAGGTCAGCCTGTTCTCACATCTACATCAATACAGCCGAAAAAACCCTCCCACGCAGCAAATCAGGTACTGAAACCAATGAAGCTTCTGCATTAATTACAGATTTGCTTTAAAAGAGTTGCTTTTTCTTTTTCATTAGACTTGGATATGGCAACTAATTATCTTTTGTTGTAAAATAAAGTACTTTTCAAAAGTTTTGGGTCAGTACGATCTGTTATTCTCGTTGAAAACAAAACATTGTGTAATGAAATTGCGAATTTCTACTTTAATGCATTTAAAGTGTTTTCTGAATCTTCAGGATTTTTACTCAAGCCTTCAGTGTGACTTGATGCTCCAGATATCGATCTAATGTACTCAATAAATTCTCAAAAATTATCTATTTTTTACACATTATGTTGATAATCAGTCACTTATTATTTTTAATGTTTATAAATGTTTAAAAAAAATTTATGTGCACTTGACCAGTCACGAAAAGTCAGCTTTTTACATTTACACACTCATTTTGAAGTGAAGAAGACTAATGGCTCGTTTCCACTGACTGGTACAGTACGGTACGGTTCGGGTCGGTACGGGTTACCTTTATCAGGCTTGCGTTTCCACTTCCAAGGGTACCCTTTTGGTGGACGTGGTGTATGACAAAGTTTCAGTCGACGTCATTTTCGCTCGAGAAAATGTCTACAATAAAGCTGCACAGGTCGCTCACATATCATATGAAAAGCACTTCTCACAAAACAGATGCTGTATACACATAAATACTTGTGTATAAATGTTTATTACTAACTTTTCTATAACTTCTATAAACAGGAGTTGATTATAACTGCAGATCAATGACGGTGCGAAATAGCCTACTGTAACGTCTGTAATTATATAAAATAAATAAATAAATTAACATATATGAACACATACTGACCCTTACAGTCTCCGATATGTTACCAACTAGAGAAGAACTACACAAAGCAGACATTTCGTCATTAATTAGGTTCAAAACAACACAAAGTATAGCCTACAGTCAGTGAAAACCTCTCATCTGTGTCTGTAATCTTCAGCAGCACATGAAGCCTCTGTTAGAGAGTCATTCCATCATTCCCAGTTCATATTAGTCCAAAAGGTGATTATAAAGATTAAAACAAGGCAGTTTGTTCACGTTTGCTGAAGAAATAACGTGCTTCTTTTGCCAATTGGCTTCGCCTTTTTTCCCCGCGCTCCACTCTCGCGTTTGTCCTTTTCTTTCTGAATGTGTCACTCGCGTTTGTCAGCTTCTCACAGGATCGGGTTTCCAAAGCTTGTCAATATTCAAGTGCTAGTTATTATTATCATACGATAGAGACGCGCAGCGAGAGCAAGAAAGAAAGCCAAACCACTCGGGCTTCAGACTGGCTCGTTAAAAACTATGCGGCACAGGGTGAATCTGCTCTTCTCCATGGCTTTGTGGCTGTTTATCATGACGACAACAGGGTTTGTTTGCAGGATCGACCATGACTGCATATATATTTATAATTCCGCTGTAATCTCTCGCTGTGTATTTCAAAACATGGCGGGTCCTTTGTTTACATTCTGGCTTGTTGAGTCTACGAATGACGTATCTCTGTAAACCAATAGCGTTCAGCTGCGCGTGTAGCTCCACCCCTTTTGAGACCCTTTCTGCAGTTTGGAACCCTTTCGATAGGGTCCCGAAAAAGTGGTACGGTTTGGTTCGGTACGCCTTTTGACAGTGGAAATGGCCATAAAAGCGAACCAAACCAAACCATACCGTACTGTACCACTCAGTGGAAACGGGCCATAAAACTTTCATTCTAAAGGCCAGGACACACCAAGCCCATGGTTGGGCTTTGTCGTTCAGCGGCAGTCTGGCTTGTTGGTTTGTTGTGTTCAACACATCACCTCTCATCAGGTTAACAACAGAGCTCAATGACCCAATTCAGCATGTACAATCGTCATTAGCTGGGATGAGAGCGCTCTGTCTGGTTATTCAACAAGGACTCAAAAGTGTGAATGTGACGTAGCAAGTAAACAATTCAAGCCAAGAAGGATTACAAAGAGGCTGGCTGTAATTTTGCTACAATTCTCAAATATTTTCAAACGATATGGATTATTATATTATCAGAAATATTTGCAGGAGTGATGTACCACTCCATAGTGAGTGACAATTACTGTGATAATGGTACTAAACCTCTTACCTGTTTATGCTTTGCACGTGCACATCAGAAGTTTCAGTTTTCTGTTCCGAATGATAAAACGGACTGCCCTCTGCGGTACAGAAAAACAGAACCACCCATGCAGGCGCAGAATGCACACTCTAGTTTCAATTGACTGCAGTCTGTTTGGTGTGTTCATGGTCAGCTTTTTGGTCCAGAGGGAACCAGGCACGAGCCGACAACAGAGTTGGGTTTCATCGGTGCTAGTTGTTTGGCATTGGGTTGGTGTGTATTGACCTTATTTGGTCCAAACTGGCCTTTAGGGTCCAAAAAATGAAGAACCTTTGATTTTTGGAAATGCTTTGAAGTTAATAATGTAACAATGCTCCACACTGAAATCATGTGTCCATGCCAATTTGATACACGCTACGAACCATTAATTCAAATCAAAAGGTTCATAACGGCTTCACCAACAAATTTGAAAATGTTGTAGAATTTTGATTATTGCTCTTTTTCAAAATTCTTATTTAAGTTTTATACTATGCTTCAGAATATATGTAACTTATGAAATATGCTTAGAGGCTACACCTTAAGGGGGAAATGAAGCACTCAGTCAAGTTTACCTTATTTTGTACATTGGACTCCACTTTAATGAAAATATATTTAACAAACTCGATTAATGTAACCATTTAGCAGTAAATGGCACGTTTTACTATAGATTTTAGACCTAGGGCACAGCCATCCTGGAATGTCACAGGGTTGGTTGAGTTTCTGCCGCTGAACAGAAATAATGGAAGGAGACTGTAAAGCCTAATTTAACCCAATGCATGAAGTTGTGGATGTGGAGCTGCTGCAAATACAAGCATTAGATATGTGTAATAAGGTAAACTTGACTGAGTGCTTCATTTCCCCTTTAGCTCTTAAGTTAAGATGACTTCAAATAGGGTTAACAATTGACGTGGAATTTTAGGAAATTGTAGATTGTCCTCTAATTTTGATCTTCACTGTATATAACTCAATTTAGCATTTTGTATGTGGGATAAACTGTTAAAATGGAAGGTTTTATAGCTTAAGTCTAATTCTTTTGTTATGGTCATTTTTTTAGCATCCCAGCCACAGTTATTCACCCATCCATTGTTCGGTTGGGCCTGCAGTACTCTCAGGGCATTATAGCAGGATCCAATGCTCGATCTGTGGCCCTGCTACATGCCTTCAAACAGGTAATAAACAAAGAAAACCATACAATTGCTTAAATCTTCTTACTCTTTGAACGTGATGAATATGTAAATGCTTTTTCACAGGTTATTCAAGACTATAGCACACCTCCAAACGAGGAGTTGTCAAGGGACCTTGTGAACAAGCTTTCACCTTATATCAGGTTCATTTTTTTCCTTGTCAAAATTGATAAAGCATGAACATAGTTGAAGATGAACATCATGTGAATGTATTGGTATTGCTCTTTCAGTTTCCTCAGCCAGTGTCGGCCTCTGTCTGCCAGCATGGGCAATGCCATCAAGTACATAAAGAAGGAGATTTCAAATATACCCAATCAATGCAAAGAAGAGGAGGTAAGAGTTTTAAAGACATTTAGAGATGTTTATTATATCCGAATTGTGCCCGGGCACATTTCCCAGTTTGTTTGACAAGTGTGAGTGCTCCAAATTGGGCTCAGGTGCTGTTCAGTTGGCCGACCATGGCCTTGGAAGTGGTGTGTCAGAGTGTGGTTCGGTTAGGCTTTGGGGCAGTATGCTTGTAGTGTGAGTGCAAAGTGTGCTTGAGCCTGAAACTGAAGAGGCGACGTCACTTTTAAGGGACTGTTTCATATGGATTTCTTAATCATTCCTACTGATCAAAAAATGCAAGCTATCAGTTTATTAAAGACACAAAGCCCTCGCTGCACGTCAGCTGCACTTTCAGCAAACCTCCTAATACATGCAGCAAGAGAACTTTTATGATAATTTACGAGTGTCAATGGTTGTGGATCTGTTCAGTTAAATATTTGACTGCAAAAAATCATACAAATAAAAAAATAATACCAAACAATATAACTAAATAAATCTCCACTAATCTCCAAGCATGAGTGCTTCTCTTCCTGTTAAACTGAACACTCGCATCATCGATGATGTAAGCGTGCTCCAATTCGTAAGGTGTGTCTATATAAGTGTGTGTAGTTAAAGTCAGAATTATTAGCCCCCCTGTTTATTTTTTTCCCCCCAACTTCTGTTTAACAGAGAGAAGATTTATTCAACACATTTCTGACCATAACAGTTTAATAACTCATTTATAATAACTGATTTATTTTATCTTTGCCATGATGACAGTAAATAATATTTTACTAGATATTTTTCAAGACACTTCTGTACAGCTTAAAGTGACATTTGAAGGCTTAACTAGGTTAATTAGGTTAACTAGGCAGGTTAGGGTAATTAGGCAAGTTATTGTATAACGATGGTTTGTTCTGTTGACAATTAAAAAATATATATCTTAAAGGGGCTAATAATATTTCCCTTAAAATGGTGTTTAAACAATTTAAAACTGCTTTTAGTCCAGCTTAAATAAAACAAATAAGTGCAGTAAGCCGATATATATTGATTATTGTGACAGGCCTAACACGAACTTGCCTAGTTATCCTAATTAACCTAGTCTTACGCCTTTAAATTGCACTTTAAGCTGAAAACTAATATCTTGAAAAGTATCTAAAACATTATGTGCTATATACTAACCATATACTGTATGAAAGATGACAAAGCAACATCTCTAGGTTCTTCTTTGAGCTTTGGGTGTTCTGTCTATTTGTTCTACCTTGTCAGATTGTCCCACCGCCCATTCAAAAAGTAGGTAGCACATTTTGATGACACAATATGCTCCCCATCAGATTTTGCTACCAGTGTAAGTTTTAATGTGTAGTAGTGTGATCTAAAGCTGTTACATCACCCTAACCTACCTAATCCCTAACCCCGTCCTCAAAACCATTCAAATACAGGGTTGGTAGCATAATATGATGGGTAGGATAAAATGTCAGGACACTGCACCAAAAAGTGATGTGCACCCCTGCTTACTGCAGTATTTCTGTGAGTTCCTAAAACCAGTGTTTCCTCAACAGGCAAAAGGGAAACTGCAGGCATGTATTGATAGTTACATAAATGAGAAGATCATTTTGGCTTCTGAAGCCATTTCTAAATATGCTATTGAGAAGATAAGCAATGGAGACGTCATTCTAGTTTACGGCTGGTAAGTAATTGTAAAGTAATTGATCATCATTTTTAATCGCCAAATATCAAATAGTCTATATTAAATCGTTCAGATGTGTTTCAGGAGTGCTTTCTTGTCTTTTTTTCAAGCTCGTCACTTGTCAATCACATTCTGTGCGAAGCCTTTGAGAAGCAGAGGCAGTTCAGAGTCATAGTTGTGGACAGTCGGCCCAGGTTGGAAGGTCGAGAGGCGCTGAGGCGTCTGGTGAAGAAAGGCATCCGATGTACTTACGTGCTCATTTCTGCCTTGTCCTACATTCTGCCTGAAGTGAGTCATTCTTTTCTGTAAATCTCATTACTTGCTGGGATTTTTGCAAGCGTGTTTTATTTTTAGCTTCTTGTGAGGTAATGTGCTTTCTTAACAAACTGCTTGCACCGTCAGCTGATTGATTAAGTGTGTGATATAAACGGCTGCTAAAAATACGACTTAATTATGGTTTGGTACTTCTTAAAGGAACACAATAGCTGCAAATGTAGTGCAGAGTAGAACAAAGGGTAGACAAAGATAGCTACTCCTATTTAGCAATCTTTACCATATTTAACTGACAAAAACAATCTTATATTTTGCAGAAGTTAAAAGATAACACTGCAAAAATAAACCACAATGGTTCTGTAGTATCAAGTTAGGGTGTTTGTATTTTAAGGCATTTCGGTAAATAAAAAGTTCATATACATTTTTGTAACATTATAAAACCTCACTGTACATCAATTTGTTGCATCCATGATAAATGAAATTTTGATTTGAAACAAAACAAAAACCTGACTTGTTTGAACAGTAATGTAATATCTCATATATCTAATGTAATATCTCAAGTTAACCGGCCTTTATGTTGTCATTATAAAACATTGTTTGCCTGAATGCTGAATCAGAGCTTGGACTCTGCACTCTTTATTTCCAGGTATCCAAGGTATTTCTCGGTGCTCATGCACTCCTTGCCAATGGATATGTGATGTCACGTGTTGGAACTTCCCAAATTGCCCTGGTAGCAAAGGCCTACAATGTACCAGTGCTGGTCTGCTGTGAGACCTACAAGTTCTGTGAACGAGTGCAGACGGACTCTTTTGTATCCAATGAATTAGGTAACTGTCATGTTGTGCTTACTTAATAAAATTTGCATCATTTTATTTTATCAATAACCCTTTTGATGCTCAAAATTGGTGGAAAATGATGACCCATTGCTACCTTATTTCAATTGTAGCTCAGTGTTTATTTGATAAATCTTTCAAAGATTTGCATTTTTATCATTTATTATTACAGGAATTTATTATCTTATTTATTTTCATTTTTTAAAGTCGTTTTTTAAGTTTTGTATTTACACCTCCATTTTCCCCAAAAAGCCACTCAGGAACCTAATTTCAAGTCAAGTTGAACTTTATTGTCATTCCGCTATATGCAATAATAATAATTCCTTACATTTAGATAGCACTTTTCTAAACACTCAAAGCGCGTTACACATTGGGGGAAATCTCCTCATCCACCACCAGGGTGCAGCATCCACTTGGATGTCACGATGGTAGCCATATGGCGCACCACACACTAGCTAAATGGTGCATAAGAGACAAAGTGATGAAGCCATTTATGATATGGGGATGGTTAGGAGGCCATGATGGACGGAGGCCAGTGGGCAAATTTCGCCAGGATAAACCTTTTCGAACATTTTTCAAAGGACATCTTGGGGTTTTTAATGAATACAGGAGTCGGTTTAACGTCTCATCCGAAAGATGGCGCTCACTGTGCAGTATAGAGTCCCCTTCACTATACTGGGGCGTCAGGACCCACACAGATCGCAGATTGAGCGCCCCCTGCTGGTCTCATTAATACCACTTCTGGCAGTAACCTAGCTTTCCAAGTGGTCTCACATCCAAGTATTGACCAGCCACAGCCCTGCTTAGCATCAGTGGGCGACCATGTGTGAGTTGCAGAGATCTAGCTGCGGTATGTGTGGACATACAGAGGAACAAAATGCAATGCAACTAAGCTTTCTTTTTTCCAAAACAATTTTAAATATGTGATACTGTATTTGGAATATTGAATAATCAAGTATTTGTTTGTGAGATAGAAGAGATAGAAAATAAATATAATTCAGCTCACGTTTGATCCATGTTGTGCATCAGAGAGTAAAAGTACCAATACTATTTGTATAAAGCTGGGGAAGGTTTTTATGAAGTTTCATTGTTGTTTACCTATTGGTAATAATAAAAAAGATTAATATATGAAAATCCCTAAACATAACTCTTTTAAAATAAACAATTTTTACAGATGACCCTGATGACCTGATTGTGACCAGAAATGGGAAGACCCACCTAGAGAACTGGCAGACTGTTAAATCGCTGGGCCTTCTGAACCTGGTGTATGATGTGACGCCACCAGACTTTGTGGACCTTGTGATCACCGATTTGGGCATGATCCCCTGCACCTCTGTGCCTGTGGTACTGCGAGTCAAGAATGTAGATCAGTGAAGAGCAGATGCACACACTTCCCTCTTGAATCTGTGCGCACAGGGCTTCTGGCATGAAACAAACATATCTATCAAATGGAACCAGCTTTTCAAATATAGCTGCTGTTTATGTCCTCATTGGGGGGACTCCATTTCATTTTGAACCGCGCAACTGGTCCTATTCTAGATGTGTTTTTTAAATGACAGTTGGTTTCAGGCAGAACATTCTGAGATCAGTTCATGAAATTGGTGTAGACACCATGCAGATTGTCAGTAATGCATTTTTTGCTTTCAGTTTTGGCCCCTCATGATGGTCCGTAAATAGACATACACGTTTTAAGAAATATCTATCATCTTTTTTTCAAGATTACCCATGCCAAAGTCCTTTCATAGATGTAAAAAAAAGGGAACAGTGCATATGTGTGCGCAAGACCATGTTGTACGTATAAGGGGTTTGGTTTATATGACCAAAACCTTAGAAATGCTACAAGAAAATAAATGGTTTAGATTAAAAAATGATGCTGACTTATTTTTTTTTTTAACAGATCTTTATTTTAGGTACCAGGTTAACAAGGTACATGCTGAAATGCATACCACAATATTACAGTATTGACAAAATCATACCAGTTTTCAGCAAACAGCGTGTCAGTCTATTTATCTCATATTAGCAGATGAAACATTTACCAGCTTTATTTTAACCCTGCCAACAAAGACAAGCATTGCAGGAGCTATTATCAGCTGACTAACATGAGACATCTGTAAAAGGCAGAATGTGACAGTTATAATCTACATTTTCACATTTACTCCCTTGTAAAATGTCAAAATACTGTAGTCTTTAAACACTTTAAAATGAACATCATTTACTTTTAAAGCAACATGCAATATTTATCTTTCAGAAGCATCGCTTAAATGTCTCAGTGCTTCATTTTCAACTGTTTCAAATAAAAACATTCGGCAGAAATGAGGCAGCTCTCCAAATACGATCAGCAAGTTCAGTCTGTGGTCAGTTTTCCCTTTGCAAACCAGCCTCTTTATGGCTGTGAATATGTCAGTGTTCATGAAATACTTTATAAAATATATATATAAAACGATTTTAAGGACGTTAAGGGTTTAAAAAGAGTGAAACACTAGCTGTGTGTAAACTTATTCATTTAAAATAATAATAATAACATCATGTAAACCTGCTTTTGGTTAGTTAAAAGACCAATAATCCGGTGGTTATCTTTCCAGTGTATGATACTCAGTATTCGGATGCATCATTTGAATGCACCTGATGCATTTTTTAGGGTTCTCACTTCAAAAGTCAGTCTCTTTAAAACTCAAGTGTTCTTGACTTTTCGTCTTTGTGTAAACCAGAGCACAGACGAAACCACCACTGTTGATGCGGTAAGTATCCCAAGCACTTTAACTAAAGGAAATTCTCCCTGTAAAGCATAAGAAGTAACAATAAACATGTTAAAATACAGAAGCAATGACTAACCTGTTTGGGATGACTGTCCAGGGGTCTCACCTGTCTCATGCATTTGTACCCATGGAAATTGTTAAGACAGCTACACTCGAAAAATCCTGGTCCGTATGGGCTGCACAATGAGTTTTCAGGGCAAACCAAGGCTGAAGACACAAAACAATATACAAAAAATGCCTTAAAGGCTTTGCATTTTACAGATGTACATGTCTGTTTGCCTAGATTACTTACGCATCTGCACTGTTTGATTGCAAGCATTTTTCTGTCCTTCACAGATTCTGGTAATGCTTTTCACTTCCACCTTCTCCCATGATGCTCTGCCCCCCGGACACTCCAGTTTTGAAGGTAGTAAACTAAACAGATATTGGTCAAGTTAGCTTAAATTTAGCATTTACTTACCGTAAAGTTGTTACATTTGTACATTTACCACTTGCTTTCATCCAAAGCGACTTACAGGTGAGGATAAAAGAAACACTTTAAATACACAGAGAGCAGCAACGTGTAGGAGCCCTAACAAGTATAAATCCGTTTAGCATCTTTTAAAAATGGTTGATTCCTTTGAACAAAGTGTTTGTAGGACGTGTCTGGTGCATACTGAGAGGTAGAGGAATTAGTATGTTTCCTACAGGTGGTTTGTCATGTCTATTTGCATGTGTAAAGCACACTCAGAATGGCACAGTGTTTTCCAGAAACATGGAGTGCTAATAGGAAAGTGTCTGGTGCATATGAAGAGGATTAAAGCGTATCTGCTACAGGTGAAGCCCACTCACATTCAGAACTGCACAATTTTCCCAGAAACATTGAGTGATTATAAAAAAGTGTCAAGTGCAAATAAATAGGGAGAGCTATTGATGGAAAACTAAATTATTAAGTATTGATGAACTGATTCCTCTTGATGTTTATTTATATGGCCAGAGAATCCGCTGTTTACATTGAGTTTGGCAGGTCATTCCACTATGACGGAACATTAAATGTGAAGGCCCTTGTGAATGGTTTTGTGTCCCGTTGGGATGGTATCAAAAAGTGTCGTTTGGTAGCAGAATATCACATGAAATAAAATATTAACATTTTATTAAACCTGATTTATATTTTCTGTTTACACAGGTCACTTTATTAGGCCCATAGATCAGCTGTTTGTTAAGGCATCTAAAAAGTCGATGCCTGTAGACGAGGCCTATTGTTTGTTAATCCAAAACTGAAAATTCTGTTATCAATTACTCAACCTTTTCTTGTCATAAACCTGTTTGCCTTTCTTCTTCTGTTGAAGAGATATTCTGAAAAATGTTGGAAATCAGTAACCATTGACTTACACAGTTGCTGTTTTTCCTACCATGGAAGTCAGTGGTTACAGAATTTTGACTTTTTTCAAAATATCTTCTTTTGTGTTTAATAGAAACAAAAACTTGTAAAGATTTATATTGTACATTTTAATTTTTGAGTGAACTGTCCTTGTTATTTCCTAATTAATGCTTAATAATCAAGTTATAATGTTTTATTATATATTAATAGCTAGTTAATTTCAGTTTTTAACAAAGATTAACAGAGTAACTGTGATGAATGCAGCTCTAACTGCTGATTTTAATGTGTTAACTATTATGAGACCTTATTGTAAAGTGTTACCTATTATAATCCTTTTGCAGTTTATCTTGTAAAACATTTGTTTCCTATACACATTATATACAATAAAGCACTACAGTGCACACACACACACACACATACATAAACAAAAAAAAAAAATGAAGAGTTCAGATGCAAAAACCTCTAAGTGCCATCTAAAATTTCCATCAATAATGAGCATTATTCTCAGCCTCCTTTGTTTATGTTGAGTTATGTCACTTTGAAAATAATGAAAAGCACTTATTCGTTGCCATAAAAGTGAAATTACTGAACCTACACAATGGAGACTGATAAAAATGCTCATTTTAAAAGAAAATTTCAGATGGCATTTAGAGGTATTTGCATCTGAACTCTTCAAATATATTTGGTTATTATGACTGTTAAAGTAATCCTTTCAGTGAGTATCGTGATAAAAGCTTCACTATTTATTGTAATAAGAAACATTTGAACTGTCATAAACGTATATGTCATCTTGTCAACATGGACCAAAATCTCAAAGAAATGTTTCAAGCATGATGTTGAATTAATCAGTGTTGCTACACTGTTCCATGACACTTCCTTGACCCCTCATTTTGAAACCACATGCAGCCTTGAATGTTATGAGCATGATATTCTCCACTCATGGATGACTTACAGTTGTGTAAGCTGGCTGAAACCCTGAAACACATAATCACTCAGGTTGGAGATGGGGTTGTTGGAGAGATCTCTGTAAAACAAAGACAGTTTGCTATTCCGTTTATTAAAACATCGAGTGACGCTCATACCATGATGATAAAAGTACGTACATGATGAGTGCTGTGGATGAATTATAAAGGTGCTCTACATGACTGATAGAGCAGTTTGACAAGTCCAACCTAAAGCAGAACAGATGTTTGAAGATGTATTATCAGACTATTAAATATTTCAGTTATAAAAACGAATACTAGTAAATGAACCTACCCTATAATAGTGTCGACATCGCTGGTGTTGTTTTTAAAACAGCAGTGACCCTTAACATAGCCTTTTGTTATGCAGAAGCTCCAGACCGGACTATCATGTCGTATCGTTCCTTCACACATCTGACATAACTAGAGACAATAAATGTGAAAGCTTTCAAAATATTGTACGCCAACATGCATGAATCATATCTATAGTCAACTGCGATAACATAATAACAAATAACGGTTGCATTTAAGGAGGTTATTTAGGGTGTTTTTGCACCACACCAGTCGATCTTCTCACCTGTGCATCGGTGTCCTGACTGTTGACATATACATTAAATAAAAGTAATAAAACAGTAAATAAATACATAGAAGACACTGTTACATTAGCTGTCATTTTGATTTTTGCCAAAGCTAAGTCATGTGATTAGAAGATCGCGTGACGTCCAATGGCCGCGACCCCATTCATGACAACCAGGCGGCGCAAATATTTCAAGTGGTGCTCGCTGCATTGTGAAATGTCCATAGAGGCTCACAAAACAGAGGGGGTTTTCATATGGATCCTTAATCCATTCCTCCATATAAAATGAGCTGATTTACTAGTCTGGATTTATGCAGCATGCCAGTGTTTAGTGCATTTGTCAAGATGAATCATTCAATACCGTTACCAAAGTAACAATAAAATAAAGAAACTAAATCATTTTAAAATAATAAAAAAGCAAATGCATATTTTGATTAATGGGACTTTCATTTAGAAAACAATGTTTTAATTAATTAATAGAGCTTTTAAAGGAATTAATTAAACAAACAAAATTTTAAGCATTTAAAGCGCAAATAAAAATGTGTAATACATATTACTATAAACAATTTATGTAATGAAATTATATAAAATTAAAGTAAAATTAAATAGTAAGATAGATAAATAACCACATTTGTATTAAAAACAAAAAAATAAATGCAACAGTTAAATAATTAAATAATTAATACAGTATTATTTAATACAAATAGAGCACTTGATTAAAACATTGCTTGATTAAAAGATAAAAACAAATTAGATTAAAATACAAAAAATTATATATATATATATATATATATATATATATATATATATATATATATATATATATAACAAAATTTTAAATGAAAAAAATGGAATTAAAAATATTAAAATAAATAAATTAATGAATAAATAAAATAAGTTACCATACTGATGGAAAAAAGGAAACGAGATAATATAATCCAGACTATTTATTTCCTAAAGAATATTTTAGATCTGTTTAAATATATTGAATCTTAGAAAATGATAACAATGTACACTGTAAACTATATAGTATTTTAAGGGGGTCCTTAAAAAGATGTGCATATATGGTTGTCTATAAGAGAACTATAAAGTGTAAATATAAAAATGATAAATTACATGAAATATTAGTCAATTACAAAGAGGTGGTTTACTACAAACTCTTGCACCGCTCATGCCAATGCATCTCAACTGAACGTTTTTACGCAATAACTCCCCCCGCGGCAGGAGAATGGTTTGATCCAGACTGTTGCAATGCTTCGGCAGAGCGCAGATACATATTGAATACATTACAGCACAGCGGCTTAATCATACGCGGCTCTGGAAGGTATCTCTACAATGTAAACTGATGTGTGCTCTTCCTAACGTCCTAACAAGAACGAACACTGCATCGCCATCTCGAAATGCAGGCTGCGACAAACAGTTTCTTCATTTGTTTCCTCTCCATACTCGCTCGTATGTACCAACGTAGGTAGAAACGGGGGCTGTGGAGAAGCGCGGAGCACCTTTACGTGGAGTAAATCTGAAAGTTAATTAGACCGCGGGCCTTGCGTGAGTTTACAGACTCGATTTCCACATTGATTTACAGTGTACGAGGAAGTGAGGGGACAGATTTGGACATGGGTTGCCTACAATGAACGTGGAATTACCTCTAGCTGCAACATGGCTGCTGCTTAGATGTTTAGTTTCTGGAAAAGTTCAGCCTTGAGCATTTGGAAAGTTTTATAAATAGTCCACTTTGTAGAAAAATAACTTTTCTGTCGTGATACAACTGCGGATTGAACTGGACTGGATTGGACGACACTGGGATTCAGAGCGAGTGAGGCTCGCCGTCATTCAGTTTTGCTCTCTGCATGACAGCAACGCAACAGCAAGGGCTTTCCGCGAACATTCTCGCTTTTGTCAGCATTGTGAACTTGGTCAAAGACGTTCAGCTTCACTGGAGAAAATGCATTTCTCCATTCCTGAGACGGAGGTCCGCTCCGATGAAAACGGATCTTCGTATGTGGTAAGTTTTCTGTAGGTCAAATTAGCGTCTTTACATTTGGAGAATGAGATACAGGCGTTGAACGTGTCTTTTAAAGTGAACAAACCTGCTGACTTGAACTCGTTCACTGATCTTCATATAACAAGAACCTAGAGATTGACAGATAGACTTAAAGGGATAGTTCACTTAAATGCAAATGTTCTCACTGTTTACTCACGCAAATTATGATTGTACATCAGACTGTTCCAAGTGTGATTGACAAATTGTTGTCAATTGCTAGTTTATGTAACGTGAGGCTCTTCGGTTGGGTTTGAATCTTGCTTTGTTTAGCCATACATCTATATCATCAGTTATCTAGTAACTTACAGTTGAGTAAATATAGAAAAATATTACTCTGTTAAAATAGTTCGGTTAAAAATACCCCAACATATAACCCAACTATAGGTTATTAAAGCATCTTCCCAACTATGGGTCATTTCAACCCAATGCATTGGGTTACTTTGATTAAATGTATTTTTTTCCATTCTGGTATTACTATTGCTACTAGTACGACTATTAATTTAAAAATTATGGCTGTGTAAATAAAAAAAAAACATACAGTTAATAAAAAATATGAATATTACATATTATATAATATATTAATATTATTAATAAAAAATATCGAAAATGCTTATTTTCATTGTATTTTATTTCCAGACACTTTTGTTAAAATAAATTAAGAATCACAAACAATGAAGAAACAGAACAAAGTAGACTTTTATAAATTGCAAGCAGAAAATCCTCTGTTGATGGAGCAGAATATGGAGCTCTGTGTGCTGTAGAGACTGTCCAGCTGCTGCAACACTTTCACTCATTGTCCATAATGTACAATACATTTTAACCACATGTAAACGCTTCTAAAAGATTGTCCTGGATGGTAAAATAGATAAAAACCTGACACGAAGACGTAAAAAAAAAAAAAAAAAAAAAAAAAAAAATATATATATATATATATATATATATATATATATATAATGCGTTAAAGATTTAATAAATTAATTACAGCTGTTTTGTGTCAGTTAAATCAGTTAACTGTCGAAACTCAAACTTTTAACCCAACTAGTTGAGTTATAAAATAAATAACCAAATAAAGGTTAAAAATAACCAAACAAACCACCAAATATCGACTGGTTGAGTTATTAATAAATAAACTAATAAAGGTTAAAAATAACAAAACAAAGCACCAAATATGTTTAACTCAACCATTGGGTTAAATAAATAACTCAACGTTTTTTAGATCTGCTTTGTTGCTATTTAAGGAATTGATTATGATTGGTAAATACTCGTTGGAGAATTCCTTAGTAGCAAATCTCACTTACGTTTCCTTTGGCTTTGTACCTGCTTTATCAGGGGTCACTACCGTGGAATAAATCTGCAATTACTCTGGCATATGTTGAGTACTCTGGCAGTACTACCCTCAGTGCTGGGAAACACCCTCTTCCATTCACACACTGGCCAATTAACTTTGAAATCTAATCTTAATGAAAGAAAAGAAGGCTTGCTGAGTGAGTTGATGATTCAGTAAGTCACTTTTATCTTACGCTATCATACTGTCAGAATAAGGTTATCCTGATGAAGGTGCAAATATATAAATCAGAGAACAAATCCGGCAGTATCTTTAGATTGAGTATAAACTGACAGAATTTTGTTTGACAGGGTATACCATTTAATGTCACAGATTTGGAGAACATTTAATGAATGGCTCTGTTTGTTTCGTTAACCATGTGAAATGAAATGCTTGTGCATTGTTTTAGCTGTCAACTCCCTATAAGATAAATTCATCCAGAGTTGTCTGTCAAAATAATATTTTTTGTGACTCAAATATAGCACTGCTTGTACAGCATGCACACCTCAAGAAAATCAAATAGAATTTAAGAAAAAAAGTCAATTGTATTTAGTTTTTTGTTAACTATAGATGGGTTTGAATTAAATTGTTTTGTGATTAAATTAACTGCATATGCTTTGATTACTAAAGTCCATTTAAAAAATGGTGTCCAAAAAAACAACAACAATAGAATGAAAAAATGCAACTTGGGAACAAGTTAACATAATTTGAGCAAAACCCATTTGTTTGATGTAATGATATGGATAGTACTAAAAAAAGCAATATGTATGTGATGTGATTTGCAGTTTTAATATATATTTAGGCCTACTATAGCTCATGCAGCGTTCATAAGTTGTCAACTTAATATTACACCTTGTCTGTCACTCCACAGGACTTAATGAATAACAATAAGGGCTCAAATACCGCAGGGATTATTGCATTGAAAGTGGAATCAGATTAGGAAGCTTTGTCAGTTTCAGTGTTTCTGTTTGAATGGTTGTTCAGAAACACGCTTCACCCAGCGTCTTCTAGCCTTGTTATTTTGTGAATTGGATCCACAATGTCTCGGTTCCTCTGGCATGTCTCTCTATTTCAGCCATATGCAGTGCAAGATTGCTGTGTCTTTCAGCGTAAATGGAAATTGAATAACGGTACATCATATTAATTATTGTGTACTAATAGACTTTAGTGTGAAGCCAGACATTTTGAATTTTAATTCATTTGAAACATTTGTTTACTCTGAACACCCACCAGAAGCAATACCAAAAGTAATCATTGTTTTGCAGCTATTGTGCATTAGGGCTGTATAATATAACAATTCAGCGTTGAAATCGCAATGTGCACATCTGCAATAGTCACATCACAAATATGAACAATGTCCAGTCTGAATTATAGTTGAGCAGGAGCTACAGAATTGTAGTTAATCACTGTATTTATATGGAATTTATAGGATTTTTGCCAAAAAACATTTCTTCTAATTTTAGTCTTCTAGTCCAAATATCTACAATGTAAAATTCAACAGTCAACTTTATCAAATATAATGAGTGTAGTGAACTCAAAATTGACTGAAAGTTATTTCTACTCATTTGAAAAGAGTTTTGAACTGTAAAGAGTTGATTAAATACCTCATTACATCAGCTCAAATTAAGTAAGTTCACACTACTCATAAATTAGTTAACTCAAATGGTTTGTTGCAATCGGTTTGCTTAAAGGGTTTGAGTTGCCTCAACTTATTGGGTTTTACAGTACTTAGTTGGTTTGAGTTCTCTTCCTGTGCTCAGATTGCTTTTTACTCAAATGAATTAAGTTCACTGTACTCATTAGGATTAGTTTTTGAAGCTAAATGGTTTGTTGCAATCAATTTCCTCAAATATTTGAGTTAGCTTAACTTATTTGGTTATACAGTGTACATTTCAAAGCAAAAACAAGGTTATTTAACTTACCCCACTGGGAGATGATTTCCTTAAAACAAGCAAAAAAAACTCTTAATTTTCATTTATTCCTTCTGACGATAAAAACTAAACAATATTTTTACTTGCTCTAAGATTTTTTTTTGGACTAGAAACAATGAAAAACAAAGTAATGAAAGCATTTTTGCATTGTGATCTTTAAACTTTCGTACCTTAATACCGTTAGACTCCCCAGAAAATTGTGAAATCGAGCTATTCAAAGGATGTTCTGAAACTATATTTGTATCGTAATATTTATCAGAAAAATAAAATATCGCATTATCAGATATTTTCAATATTGTGCATAGTGATAACTGTTTCAGCAATTATAACAGCAAGAAAATTGGATGTCATGCATGCCGCCATGCTTATAGCTCTAAAACTTCATTTGCCTGTGCAATAACAGACATCTTCAGCTCTTGAGGTCACATCTGTATTGCACTGGGGGATTGATAATAAAGCATATTCTGTTTAAGTACACGCAGTGCAGTCTGATCTGGCAGATTCTGTACTCGTAGGTGTTTGCAGATGTAGTGCAGATGTGCAGCTCGTGATGTCGACTCTTCTCAGACACCAAATGATTTGGATTAGGTTTTTTTTTTTTTTTTTATGAGCTCCACTGTTCTCTCTCGAAACACCTCCAATAAACCCAGAAAGGTTTTTAATGCACTGCTGTGAAGAAATCGTGAGTCATTCGTAACAGATTGACAAGCGAAAGTTGTTTGTGTCCTTCTGTGTCTGATTCAGAGAGAACCATCAATGACGATCTCAATAGATAAGTCCTTCAAGGCCACTGAGAGCTGTACTGGCCAGATGTATGAATCACACTCACTCAGAAGATTTCTTTGATGGATAGAAAATTACTTTCTTGCTTTACACATTTCTGTTTCTTAGATATTCAAACAAGTGTTGTTTTAATGTTAGTTGTATGCTATAATATATAGCTTTTATTTGTTTACAAAAAATAATTTCAAACTCAATTTCTACACTTTAAATTTTTTATTCATTATTAAGTTACAATAACTGACAAGTTATATAATTTGATTTCTTTTCAGCTAACTGTATGGCATTTAGCTATGTTTCCATCCACCTATTTTTATGTGGGTTTTGGATATGCACATAAAAAAAATGCCAAGATGCGCATACATTTTTAAAATTCGCATATAAAATTTATGCACATAACTGAGTAGGATCAACTTTTTATTTGATAAGAAAAGATGCGCATAAATTATGATTGAAACACTTTTGTCGAACATATTTCAGTAAAAAGCTTCTCCTACTGCAGCAAATTCCATTTTTACTGTTGATATTTATTTGGCACCAGATAATTAGGAAGTGACTTTTTTTTTTTTCGTTTCCAGAGATGGGTTGCGGCTGGAAGGCCATCCGCTGCGTAAAAACTTGCTGGATAAGTTGGCGGTTCATTCCGCTGTGGCAACCCCGGATTAATAAAGGGACTAAGCCGACAAGAAAATGAATGAAATTACTATTTTTTTCGCTTTGACTCGTTGGAAGGAAGTGCTGCTTTATTCGCAAGTTTTTTTTTTAAAGTGATAATCCGGTTTTGCGCATAGTTATTTTGCATTTTTGGATGGAAACATAGCTAATGTTGTCATGATGCATAACTTTATTATTTAAAATTATAAACTTTTATAATAGTTTATACAATTATTAGCCTATTCATGCAATTTATTTAAGTATTTATTCCT